CTTAGGCAGCAATATTCTCCCGCTGCCATGCGGGTTACTTTCGTCGGCGGAGCCCGGACACCCGACTCGCACTCGGTCGAACACACGACGGGCGTGGGACAGGGATAGATTACATTCGCGATGTGGAATTGGAGTCGAGTAGAGCTGCAGAGGAAAAACTTTCGACCGCGCACGAAGTCCACCGTCTTACCGGTCTCGGGACCTCTATTTCGGCTCTAATCAGCTCTAGATCCGCCGTCCGGATCTCCCGGCTGCCGCGATCTTCCTGAGGGACACCGGAAATAGTACCGGCCGTCGAAAAAATCCGCAATTTTCTGGAGCAGTCTCGGAATCGGGGAAAAATCTCTGCGACGCTCGGGAACAATCTCATTAGAGAAACCCCACGAATTCGCAGAAATGAGTAGGAAGTAGCATTCAGATTTGATCCCACGCGGTGCCGGGAAGGATCAGAGAGCTCCCTGAAAGAATGCAGCGGATGAAACCACACAGTCGGACCTGGCGAAGAAGGACAACGGAACTTACTCGACGCTAGGGAGCGGGGACAAGAAACGTCCGGGAGTCTCTCAAGCATGGAGAGTAGATCAGTTTTTTTCCCTTCACATCACTCCTGCTGTTTTGAGCCGAACTTCAAATGAACTCTGCCTTCGGAATACAAATTGAAAGCTGAAAGCTTCCGCCATGAGACCATGGACAGAACACACGAGTTTTGAAAACTCCACACGAACATCCGGGAGACGACTCGCTCGGGGCCTGCGGAGCGACACCAGTCCGGGATCGGGGGACGGACAGTGAGATTTAGCAGTCGTATGACGACATGGGGAACGGTGGTATTGCGTGGGTATGACGCTTGTTCCTCGGCTAGCATGCTGTCGGAGCACGACAGCAGCGCAGGCTGAAGTGATGCTGTTTTCGTTGCTTGCTGTTTTGTTGCCTTGCATCAGAACTCTTTACTCCACTTCGTACTCGTATCAGTCAGTCAGCCGGTCGACGGAAAAGGTGGTCGCCTGCCTGCCTACCGACCCACCTACCTACCGAGCCGGAGTCGGAGCCCGCATCGGAATCGCAACCCCCCTTCCCCCTGTTTTTCTCCTGTCGGCCGGCCCCCTTCGTCAAGCCCACGGCGAAGCCACAGTGACTCCGCGTCCGCGGCAACGACGCGACGTCAACTTCTCGAGAATCCTGAGTTTCGAAGCGCGGGCGGAGATATGTTCGCCTGACAGCGATGTCTATTTTAACGAGAGCAACCAGAGAAACAGGCTCGTTCGTTCGTTGCGATCAGCCCACACACCGGAGTGCTGATCGGCGCGGCCAGGGAAGATTCGCTCGGGAGAGTTGTCAACATCTCCGTGACTACTTTCATCGTGCCGGCAGCGCGGATTGGAGAGCCCCATAACTTTTCGAGAATCAGCTGAGTAAGATGGAATATTGTAGAACTTTCCTCCCTTTTTTCCGGAATCTGCTCTCGCCATGATATCCGAACTTTGGAGCTGCTAAGGAATCGAATTCGATCGGGAGATCTGCTCGGATTGCGTCTATTGTCGCCGTACGCTCTCGGTGTTTGTCTTCGCACGTCGTCAGGTGACCATGCTCACTTTAGTATGAGGATTTTTCCGAATGGTTGAATCCATCGATCCCCTCCGACTGACTGACTGACCAACCAAGCGACCCGCCAGTCGGTCGGTCGGCTGAGCGAACGCCTGCCAGCCTGTTCGCTTGCCGACCCAGCCGAGCAGCTTGCCAAACTCGCTTGTCCATTCGCTGTCCGGGAACGGGGCGCCGGCCGGCCTGCCTGCCTCCCTCCATTCCTTCCTTGGCGGTGATGTGTCTGCACGACGTTGCTCTCGCAATGATCCCACGTCGCAGTCAGATGTCACGCTTATTGGTCCCCACGATGAGGGATCAATCTTCGCATTGCAACGACGCGACATCCCGCATCAGCGTCTCGAGTGAGTAGAGACTCGCGCACGGTCAGGTCAAACGTTTATCCGTTCACCCGCTTGCTTCCTCCAGACTTTTTTTGGCGGATTGGCGTCGGAAAATCTTGAGGAAACTGATTCCAAATTGAGAGAGGGAATTCAAGAATTGATGGCTCGGGACCAGACTCCGGAGGGGCAGATACGTTCGGGGCGAAGGAGAGAACGTAGTGTGGAGGGAGCCAAATTGAACAGCGGCGCCGGCGGTGGCACGATGCCTCTCAGGGGGAGATTTGCTACGTCAGCGTCGTCATAATGAAATTATTAGACAATGCGCTGTGCAAGCTGTCCGATATGACTCGGCCTCGTGAGCGACAGGCAGTTTCGTATGCAGATCTCAATTACGTACGATGCATGCTCGATCGATTCGATGATATCTGAGACCGTCATCGGGGTCTTTCGCGGCAAGTCATTGATGGATTGACGTTCTTCACGCACCTCGCAGGACGAAGTATTATATCGGATATCTCACGAGATTTTGGATGTTTTCCTATATTTAGTTTCCCAATAATTTGAGCTTCATGGATATCCGGAACAGATGACAGCCTCTCACAGGGGCTCAGATTGGGCGAAAGGAGCTCCCGGGCGAGAATTTCGAGATTAAGGTACCCGGGATGCAGTTCTCGAGTTTTGACGACATTTCTCTGAAAGAGGTCGGAAACGACAGCCACCTCAGTATTCGACAAAAATTGTGAAATGCAAAGCGTCGAATAATGCACCGCTAATGTCTCTCAGGGGTCTCGCAGCTCGAGCAGCTGCTGGGTCAGACTCGGCCGCAGAAGCAACCATCTATCTTTCCAGGCGGTACGGCCGCTCTCGGCTCGCCGTACGTGGGTTCCTTTAAGACGTTCTGAATGGCCGCGTAATGAACCGCGTAGGGCGTTCCCGGTGGAAACCTAAACGTTTGCATTGCAATCAGAATGAAGAGGAAAACGGGGGGCGGGCTCAGAAACGGGTGATGGGTGAGCCGGTCACGCACCGAGTTGAACGGAGTTCAACCGCCTCGGACGCTTCTTCCTCCGCTTCCTTGATTGCCATCACTACGGATTTGCCGGAGCGTACTTCTATTTCGTATAGAATTGAAGCTAACGCTTGCGGGGGTGCGCATCGATCAGAAAAATGAATCCGGAGGGCTGGAATTCCGGGGAGAATCCGTCATGTCGATCAGGACTCTGATGATTTCTCCACTGTGGTCGATATGTGATATTGGGCGAGAATAAGCTGTCGCTTCCAGATATTGCGGGAGCTGGCCTCAAGTGTCATCCGATTCGTATCTGCGAGGTTTTGCAGGACTATTTCGATTATAGTCCGGGATGAAAAGGTCCAGAATCCTTGATTATCGTCTACATTCGTATTCCTATTCTCGATGCGAATCAAAACGCAATATCCGGGGTTTTCTCAATCCGATCGATATATCTCAGGGAATTGGAATACGAGTCGGAGTCAGCACGACAGAGCTTGATGGAGTGATAGTGGCCTTCCTTGAGCGCCGCGGACAGTCTGAGTTAAATAACTGCGAAACGTCTGCCGAATGCATATATCGACGAGATATCTACGGAACAAAGCCCTCGTTGAGTAGACAACACTCCCGGACACGAGCGATGGAACTGGTCTGGGTTATCGACCCACGCTTAGGGCATTCGAGGAGCACTGTGTCGAGGCTTGATCTCCGAAAAGACGACATCAGCTTTGACATGATGCGGTACCTCCGGTTCCAGACCCTCGAACATCATTGACTCTAGAAAGGCACCTTTCCTGGTTTCTTACCGATCGGATCGTGTGTGGTAAGAACCATACGATCGTATCACCAAACGACTGCTTCCGCTCCGACAGGCTCTTTCCGAGCCAGTATCGCGCTCTTCCATCTGTGTCATATGGGAGAAAAATCTCGAGACCCACACCACATCAGTGGTTCGAAACCCTTCCGTCGTTCTCTTGGCCGGACTGCCCGATGGGACGATCCCTGGTTTCATTGAGAAGCATCCCTATGCGCTGCCGAGCGATCGTTTCACGAACCTCGCCTCGAGCCATACAGCACGAAGCTTAAATCTGACGTCTCGGGAAGACTCCTGTTGGATTCTTTCCTCTCATTTCTTTAAGGCCAACCCTCATTAATTCCCATCGCTCACACCGTACTCTCTCTCCCGTATCCGATATCAGTCGCAGGAGCTGGTGTGGGAAAATTCAAAACGCTATCTATTCCCAACAGATTAAAGTTATTCCACCTTCTCTAAGCAGCTTTGTCCCCTATGGTTACGGTGTCTGATAGGTAGGCTTTTCAGCAACTTACTGATCAGCTCGGATACTTGACAGTGTGGCGTCTCTGCTACCGAGCCAGTTGAGCATAGGGATCGTTTCGCCGAGTTTTCGCGTCCTGAAAATTCATACGAGCGCTAGAGCCTCCCTCCCCGCATACAGTTTCGATATGGTCCCCGAAACCTCGGAGGCCTGTGGATGGGACGGACCATCCGAGATGCTTATCAAGTATCAAGTGACATCATCAGTCGGTAGAGATCGAGGTACATGAGTACCCGGTTCGTCATGTCGTTTCATCTGACTGAGTGGTGCCATCTACCCGCCCGGGTAATCTTTCCCCTCCAGAGCGAGCAACAAGAAGCTGGAGGAATCACGTGTCCTGTCGGCGTAGGTAGCCGTTCTGTGCCGCCGCTGCCATATCATCCGGGCGCGCTCCCTCTGAGGAGTTTCTGTTTCTCTCGAGGTATCATTCCCTCCATTTCTCGCTGTGTTCCTCCGCCTGAGTCTTTCATCTCGCGCGTGCAGCCCGGGCGAAGTGGCGTGGCGTCCTACTCCGAGGTATCTCCAAAATTTTGACATATGTGACAAAAGTTCCCTTTACTTGAGTCGCCATATTCGGAGAACGACGTTCGACTTCAGGAGATCGTCGATTCATGGCTCCACTTCCCTCGGCTTCCTCAGAGAGGAATAAACAGGCGCGATCATGGGTAGGTGAATACATCGGAAGAGGAAGGTATGCAGTACATTCACCGTGATCACGATTTCAAATTAAGACAATCGTGGAATTTCTGACGATTTCCTTCAGCAAATGAACGCTCCGTGCAATTTCCCACGGAGTCATTCGCACAAAGAGAAATAGGCTTTGAGGAGCTCCATGTCGGCTGGATAGATGTGCTTCGCGATTTCGTAGCGTTCGAAGTCCCGATGGTACTCGCTAGTCAGCACCCAAACTTCATCCAGATAGTCAAATTTGAGCGCGATTTTCTGAACATCACCAACGCGATGCTTGAAATTCGATACGTAGCTGAAACACATTCAATATATAGTGTCAACGCTGTGATTTCAACCTCGCACGCCATGTTTGAACACGTTCGCGCCTCCCGATCGTTCCATTGGAGAAAGCCAAACATTGGGACTGAATCTCGGAACGAGCGTCAAAGGTGCCCAAACACAGCTGGAAGTTCCGTCAGAACGTGAGATCTTTGTCGCGCGTTACGACAAATATCACTCAGGGGAGTCTGTTTATCGCCGCGCCGCCAGGGGAGACTTTTAACATTCACTTCGAGCCTCCATGATTCGAGTGAATGGGGATGATTGCTGATTTCGATTACTCACTGGTACACAGCATTGCACTGGCATCTCCGCCTGCAAGGATGAGTGGGGTCATCTGCTGGCATGGGCTCAGCAGCCAAGCTTCCGGTATTGATTAAACACTGTCTGTAACTATCGGTTTTCATCCAATTGTCTGTGGAGAGAACAAACGCATGTTTACGTCGGAAATCCCCCTCCTGTTTCGCTCTACAAATCTCGACATTCCCGACCGCTGACGTCGGAGGGGCGATGCAACAATAATCGTGCGCGTACAAGGATGGGGGGTGTTCGACTCTTCATTCGCTTGACGTCAACGTCAACCGTGAGACCTCAGGACTAGAATTCCTATATGTATAGCCGGACATTCCAATGTTACGCGCAAAATTTCCCTACCCACGGACCGTCATTTCCTCGGCCGACTGGGCTAAAACCCCAGCGCGAGTTGCACCTCAGAGAACGCGATTCACCGATCGGGAATTTAGACGGAATTCTAGCTTCAGAAGTCATCAGGTTCTTGACCTCTCTCCGCACCGGGAGCCCCGAGTGAGATCGGAATAGGTTTAGGGACATAGAAACTCTATGGAGATGGTCGTTCCTCGGCGTCGGGTCTGGCCATCAAGAACTCCCCGATTCGTGCAATCGAGAGGACTACATGAATGTCATCAGATACTACAGTGAGTCACTGGTTCATTTGGGCTCGAATCGGGGGTAGTGAGCGGGAGGAAGATATAGGTATTGAATTACAGCGCGCGGCTCCTTGCCGTCGTTGACAAAAAGCGAGGAGCGACCTCCTGTCCGAATGCAACAACTCACCGTAATGTTGCATGAAAAGCGTATGATTTTCCTTGATCTCACTGAGATCTTTGCTCGCTCCTAAGCCTCCCCGGAATATGGAGCGCGTCACTAGGGCCTGATCCGTGAGTCTGTCGATTCGAGAGCGAAAAATAGAAATCGAAGATCTCCCGTGGAGTAGATGATGGAGCGAGCAGATCTCGATCGCGAATAGCCGTCGACCTGAAGTCTTTCGCCCGCCTACCCTCGCGGGTCACAAAAGCTTCAACTCCATATGGGAGAGCTTAAATAATGTATTTCACTTGCCTGCGATAGTCGTGATCGGAGTACTCCCTGATCAAAAGTTTCCACGTACAATCCTGCAGGCAATTCAAGACATTGACTGCATTGATGTCGTTGTCATTCGGCGGGAGTCTTTTGATTTTATCCAGGAGCTCTCCGATTTGGGTACTCTCTCCCGCCGAGATCGTCGGCCAAGCTAAACATGCCCAAAGAACGAATGGCAAAGTTTTGCTTGTGATGGTCGACGTCATCACCGTCATCGGCACTTTATGGCGACATATTCAGGGAGCTGTTGTCAACCGTCAGTGTGTGTGTTATTCCTCTGTATTTGGAAGCTCCACGTTCGGTAGACGAATTCGACCTGGTGTCCGTGTGGAGAGATCACGAGTTCGCGTGCAGTCCGAGCTCAAAGAGTTAGATTGCTCTCGAATGACGACAGTAATTGCGGCTTACGTCAACATCAAATATTCTCTGAAAAGAACGTTCTTTCAGCGGCCCGACCATCAATACTCCCATCGCTTCTGTCAGAGGCAGCCTGACCTATCTATCCCTCTGTCGGTCGGTCTATTTGCTCGCGCCGCATTCGATCGGTGTCCATTTCTCTCGTTTGGGTGGGCTGGAAAAAGAAGCGAAAAACTCTCCCCCTCATTCCGGGATTCCATCGGGGTCGACCTCGTGCACCCCGAATTTACATACCCTTGGAACTCTTAATTACACTCGGAATTCCTCTAACTAAGAGTCGATGCCCTCGAACCTGACGACCCTGCGGCGGCTCCTTCTCGAGTATTGGCGGGCTTGAAAAAACATAAAAAGCGCACGATGTCAACGTACGGTGGCTCTCGATCTGCTACGGCTTACTCGGAGTCGCACATATCACTACCGTAGCTACCGCTACGGGAGATGATGCATAATTTAAACAGCCTGTCTTGTGAGAGACTCGGTGAGCTTTTACGCAGCGGCAGCAGCCGTCGCTCTGCCGCCGACTAGTAGCAGAAGAGAGAGGGATTTGAGATAAAATATTCGTGGTACATCTATAGCGGACCAGCATAGATAACAACCGATATGCTGTGAATAACCACCCGCCTGGTAACATCGCCTGCTGGTGAATTTCTTCTGGCCGTCCCCTCTCCTACGACTCTCGGGGCGACGACAAACGACGAAGAGTATCATGACGACTATCAATAAAATGCAAAGCTAGACGACAAGTTACAACTCCTAAGCCCTACCGAGGGTCCTGGGATCTTGAATAACGAACTAAATGATCAGTCTCGCGGTTTGAACCGGGGGGAATTAGGGACCTAAACTCCGCAGCGGGTCTTCTCTCCGCCTTTGGATCGGCTTATCGAGCTGAAAACTGGCGAAATGCCACTCGGTCGCGGCTCAGAGCTTGCCGAATGGAGTTGTTGCGACAGCGGACTCCCAGCATCCCTGGAAAGCTAAGGATAAAGCCTCGAACCAGTTCTTCCCAGTCGGCCTGAGTTCGTCTCCGTCGATTGCTCCTGATGACGGTGATCAGTCCTCCCCCTACCTGGGCGCGTCCTCGTCTCGCTTCTCCCAAGGCTCATCTTCGACGAGCAAATGGCGGACGATTACCCAATCCATCCCGGCACGGAAACAATCGCGGTGCGGCGAAAACCAGTTCCCCGATACTCCGAGGGCAACACCACGAGCTCATGCTCCCCAGGACTCGATAGCGGGGTGCGTACAGTACGTGCATCGGAGGGAGTTCCCAAACAACCCTGCTCGCTGCGGACTTCAGCAGCTCTTGCTCAACATGTCCTTCGCGTTCAAGGAATTGCGTGTATGCGTCGTCGCACAGGGCGAGCAATTCGGTCGGCTGATTCAATGAATGGACGACGACGACGACAACATTCCCGATGACGGCGCGGCGTCGACGGCGACGTTAACCATGAAGAGAACAAGCCTCGGAGGAGATAGGAGTCTCTCGGCGAGAGAACAAGGAGACGAGCGGGCGAGCCAGCGAGCGAGAAAAAGTGCATAGGGACGATAGCAGCCAGTTAGTTTTTTAATCGAACATCAAGAAGGGTGGAGGCGAAGGGAAACTTTTTGGCACCGCTCAGCCGACCGACGTTGCCACCGCTTTAGTATCAACCAGTAGCGCCCGTAGATATTGCCCTCGGCGAAAGCTAAGTATGAGAAGCCAGCTTGCTTTCTAACGTAGCCGTCGGCTTGCCTGAGTGTGAGGCCATTCGACGAAACGGTTATTGCTATGTCCGTACAGCCAGCCTCCAACATACAACGGAGCAGCGAGCGAGCTCTTCTGCCGCCGTCGCTTGCCCCTTTAGCTCAAGCTGAGTGGCTGGCCGGCTGGCTCGTTCGGGGGAAGGGGGGCAGTCTCTTGAGAATTAGGCATGTAGATTGTATGTCTTCGAGCAGTGTAAGTTACGCTAGCATCGAACTGTTTTCCGAGCGGGACGCATCCGAACAGGTTTATGGCCGTCAGCAGCGCACGTCGGAATAGAATGAAGGGACCGCTCTGGCTCACGGTGAAGCTACGGCTCCTTTTTTCGGAAACTCGAGCGGAAGTGCGAAGGTACTGAATTACGTTGGGGGCGAAAGCTCCCGGAGTAAGCTCTCTGAGGAGCTCCGAATTGGTCGTCGTCATATATACGGAATATATTTTAGATGTTCGCGATGTGACTCGCCTCTTTCATCGGTTCCTTTCCTATCTCCTGGCTCTCTCACCCACGCCTCTCGCGCGCGCATCCCCCGTGCCTCGATGGACCGGCCTAGTTCACGAGATGTCAAGTCTCGGATGGGAACACGGATTCGAGGAATCTGAGGAAACGACGATTTTGGATCGCGGATGAAACCTCTGACAGCTAGACGTCTTTCGGATAACGAGACACAAGCCTCAGATTCCGTTTTAAGCGCTCTGACAGGAGGAGACACACGGAAAGAACGGAGAAAAAGCGACAGGAGAGTTGGACGTACACCTGTTTCACTTCATCTTTTGACATGAGGTACACGCGTGCGCAGACGCGCTCACTCAGGCACACGGCACAGGTGTTCCGAGGGGGTAAAGAGGTTTCTTGTTCCTCATCTCCTCGCTGCGCTCCGACCGATATTCGCTCTCGATGTTCGTGAACTCAACGGCAGCAAGGGTTGGTTGGCCGAGCGAGCGACCGGCCGGCGGGAGGGAAGAGCACTGTCAAAAAGTGAGTGTGAGCACTTCGATCCTTCTGCTTTCAATATGGTATTATGGGGAATTGATGTTCCCCGCACAGCTTTCAGAGTTACTTTTTGAAGCTATATCATACCTCCTTTGCGGATCGCTTTCTTTCTCGACGAGAAAGGCTGGACAGGAAAGTGACTGACAAGCACACTAGCGAGTCCGCCGCGGGGAAGAACCCACCTCCGGTAGCTCGATACCGAGGCAAAAGTCATCACATAATAATATAATACACCTGATAGGTACCTTTCGGAATTTCAAGTTTTCCCCGAGCTTTTCGAATCGATACCCGATATCTTTATCATAATTGTCATTTGCAATAATTGTTTTATGGGATGGTGAGAACGAGCCGGAATATTCGGTAGCTTCCTCTTTCGGGAGACCGTGAGAAAACTAAAGAATACTTGTTGCCGTCCACTATGGTGATAATCAGCGATATTTCGATTCGTTTCCGAATCCGTCCGCAGACCTCTGCAGATACTCCGATTAGGTGGAGGACAACGCGTCCGCATCCTGGAGGGAACAGGGGCTGTCATCACGTTCCCCTCCCTTTTTCTGCTTTAAATCAATTCGCTGCCCCAAACCCTCAATTCCGCTACCATTACTCGCCAGATTTAGCGGAGCAGCACACTGATTCTACTTTTCTGATTTCCTCTCGATTTGATATTTCGGATGGGCGAACCCTTCTGGAGAAGCCGCTCGTCAGACCGACGCATCGTATGTCCATCTATTTCCACCTTCAAGCGGGTCTCCTGATTGGACATCGGGCTCATTACGCGCTGCCGCACCAGAACAGGGGAAGACTGCCTCGCACTGGTGCCCTCCACGACGAATTTCTCGCTTATGCGTCATTTTAGGTATTTCTTCTCGCGAAGGCACTTCTGAGAACTCTTCTCGTCATGACTCAGAGCATGGCTATCAACAGGTCGTCGCTTCTGAATGACAATTCCATGGATTGACGTGAATGAGGAAGCTTTCACAAAAAAAAACGTAATGAAAGACTGCTCGTATCGTCGGATCGAAATGTGATCCCGAAACGATCCACAGGTAGAGCCCCATCGGTGCGGAACGGCGCAACATATGCGCCGATGGCACGTGTGACCCCCAAGCTTCCGAACAAGCAATGCTTCGAAGATCCCGTGGAAATTCTCCGCGTAAATAAAAATCGTTGAAGTCTCGTAGCTCAATGACCATCGCCGCTGTCGTTGTCGATGTCACCTATTTTTTCTGCGTTCGATTCATCGACAACAATCGTGGTCGTCACCTGCTCGAGAAAGTTTTCACCGGAGCCGTTCAAAGAAGTTCATCCAACCTCGCCCATAGCGCACTTCGTCGCATTTGTTGTCACGACGGCAGTCCGTCGAATTTGCGAATGTACTGAACGACTGACTGTCTGACTGACCAACTGACTGACAGACCGACCGAAGGCTAGATATGCCGACGCTTTGGAACGATGGCCGACCATCGAGCCATAGTGTTGAAGACGTCCACGCCCGATGTTCTTTCGCTGCCGCCGCTCTTCGACTTCTCCTCCGAGATGGGAACCGGCGGTATTGGCAACAGCAGGCCACAATCCGGAATGGGTTCCGGTCTTGGCCGCCAGATGGCAGCAGTGGTCTCTTTGGTCGCGCGGTCCTTGCGCTCCTCTTGTTCGGTGTTCGCTGCTGGCCGTGCGACCGGTCTGGAGCCACCAGTCAGAGCCAGTCACCGTGGGGAGCGTTTGGGCCACCGTGAAACAAGTGTTGGTTCGTTGTTCGTCGTTCAGGAGTAGTTCCAGGGAGGGAGTGTGAGAAAGGGACAAAGTCTTGCGGGCTCCGGCGAGACGACTGTGATTGGAGTTCGTGGTGATTTGAAAATTGAGTGATTGATTGACAGATTGGTTGACCGATCGATTGATTAGCACGATAGATCCATCAATCATTCATCGATTGACTGGCTCGAAGCTTTTGCCACTGCCATCGTAGATACTGAGCCATCCGAGTGATTGTGTGATGATATCGTCGATTATTTGAACTCGGCGAAAACGCCAAGGATCCCTCCTACGCCGGGCACCTGTGGATCCGTGCG